GAAAACCTGGTCTGATTAGCAGAGACGGCATCCATCCCACTTTGGGTGGTGCGGCTCTCTTATCTAGAAATCTGGACGAGTTTGTTTTACAACCTAAATTATGACAACCCAGAGTTGAGTCCAGGATGCAGGGTCGCAGTCTTACACGCCTCTCTGCTGTCTCCTTGCAGCTGCTACCCACCCAACACTCCCAGTACCCCATAGAGACTGTGTCTGCCCCCCACCCACCTAAATTATATAAATCAAGAATCAACTCCAGAGGAGTTATTCATAAGAACCTAATTAAAATTAAGACGACTCCTCTTATAGTAGAAAGTAATAGGACAATCAAATGTGGACTATTAAATATCAGATCTCTCTCATCTAAATCTCTGTTGGTGAATGATTTGATAAGTGAACATCACATTGACTTATTGTGTCTTACTGAAACATGGTTACAGCAGGAAGAATATGTCACCCTAAATGAATCCACTCCACCTAGTCACAGTAACTGTCACATCCCTCGAAACACAGGCCGAGGTGGTGGCGTGGCAGCGATCTTTGACTCAAGCCTATTAATCAACCCAAGACCTAAACATAGTTATAACTCATTTGAAAGTCTCACCCTGAGTCTCTCACACCCAAACTGGAAAACTCAAAAGCCTGTTCTATTTGTTATTGTATACCGTCCACCTGCTCCTTATTCAGAGTTTTTAAGTGAATTCTCAGACTTTCTGTCTGATTTAGTGCTTAGTACAGATAAAATAATCATAGTAGGCGACTTTAATATTCATGTAGATGCCGACAATGACAGCATCAACAATGCATTCTGTTCATTATTAGACTCAGTTGGCTTCTCTCAAACTAAATAAACCCACTCACTGTTTTAATCACACTCTTGATCTGGTTCTGACATATGGCATCAAAACTGAACACTTAATAGTTTTTCCCCATAACCCTCTTCTGTCTAACCATTTTCTAATAACTTTTGAATTTAAATTAATAGATTATACTCTATGTGGGAAACAATTCCACTACAGCAGATGTCTATCTGGCAATGCTGTTACCAAGTTTAAGGAAATAATTCCATCTTTATCTACTTCAGTGCCATTTGCCAACACAGTGGAAGGAGGCCACCTTAACCTTACTCCCACACAAATCGATAATCTTGTTGATAGTACTGCAGCCTTCCTGCGTAATACACTTGATACCATTGCCCCTCTGAAAAAGAAGGTAGTGAAACAGAGGAGGCTAGCCCCGTGGTACAGCTCGCAGCTCCGCTCCCTAAAGCAGGCATCACGAAAAATGGAAAGGAGGTGGCGCTCCACTAAGTCAGAAGAGTTTTCTATAGCCTGGAAAGATAGTTTAATAACATATAAGAAAGCCCTTCATAGTGCCAGAACCACATTTTATTCATCACTGATTGAGGAAAATAAGAACAACCCCAGGTTTCTTTTCAGCACTGTAGCCAGGCTGACAAAGAGCCACAGTGCTGTTGAGCTTAACATTCCCTTAGATCTCAGCAGCAATGACTTCATGAGCTTCTTTACAAATAAAATCACAACTATTAGAGAAAAAAATTGCTCGGACCACTCCCACAGCTCTTGCAGATGTGCCATCTACTACAATGGCTTTAGAAACATCTGGAAGACCTCATTTATACTTGGACTACTTCTCCCCTATAGATCTCTCTGAGTTGACCTCAACAATTGCTTCATCTAAATCATCAACATGTCTCCTGGACCCCATCCCGACCAGGCTGCTCAAAGACGTCTTTCCCCTAATCAACACATCCATACTAGATCTGATTAACCTCTCTCTATTAACAGGTTATGTTCCACAGGCTTTTAAACTTGCAGTAATTAAACCTCTACTCAAAAAGCCTACTCTTGACCCAGGTGTCCTAGCTAATTATAGACCAATATCCAATCTCCCATTTATTTCCAAAATCCTTGAAAAAGCTGTAGCAAAGCAGTTATGTGACCACTTGCACAAGAATGATTTGTTTGAGGATTTTCAGTCAGAATTAAAAATCCATCATAGTACAGAAACCGCATTGGTGAAAGTCACCAATGAAATGTCCACACAAGAAAGGTGTTCCATCAGGGGTTGGTTCGCACAAGTATATAAAGACAAACACACACGCACACACCACATGTCAGGAATCGGCGCGTTATGCTGCCAAAAATGTTGAGGGTGAACTCAATTAAAAGGCCAGACAAGGAAATGTAAAACAAAACCGTCTCTTTAATAAGAGAACTAACGCTAAACAAAACCATACAAGACACGGTGAAACACAAAAATCACAGGTCGGTATAAACAGTCCGAGATCAGAGCCAGCAAACACATACAGCAGAGGAATCCAAATACGTAGTCCAAAGGGAAGTCCGATAATTATACACAGTGACAGTCTGAAGCAAGAGGGCAAGGCAGAACAGAATAGTCAGAGGAACAAGCCGGGTCAAAAACACAAAGTACCAAAACCGAAAAATGCTGGAGAGTGAGAGGTGGCGTCTAGAACAATCTGGCTGGGATTGGTGGGTGAAGGCTGCTTATGATGCGGTGCAAACTATAATGAGCAGGTGAAACTAATGCGGGTGATGAAGAAAGTAAAAAGACCAAAACTGTGGTGAAACAAAACAGGACGTAGCATCAAAATAAAAGCCTGACAGGAAGCAACACAGAACCGAATCATGACACCACACACACACACACACACACACACACACACACACACACACACACACACACACACACACACCACACACACACAC